AGATTCAACGCAGGTGGTCCAATAGGACCTGCAGTTTTGTACTGAGCCACGCCAGCGGTAGCTTACTGGTATGTGGTCGATCTGAGTTGGCGTGCCAGATGTATTTGAGCACCACGTTGCTGTCCGTTGAGAGCTGTGTCCGAAGTTTGTGCTGAATAGGAACAGATGATGGTCTGCACAGAACTGAAGAAGTCGATCGCCGTTATCTGTTCGCTGGCAGGGCAGAGCACAATGACCACCAGGGCAAGCCTCCGTTACACTCAGTTTTCCAACTTGAGCGTTAAAATCACCTGCGATAACAGCCATATCGCAGCTTTGACTCAACCGAATGAGTTCTGTGAGTTTATCATAAAACTCTTCCTTCTGTGCGTCAGAACTGCAGTTGGTCGGTGCATACGCTGAAATGAATAAACACCTTTTGGTGCTGCTTCCCTTCCGGACGCTAATAGACCCTTGGAGCCGCATCACACATAATCGGCTGTTGACGGGGATCCACTCGAGTAGTGCGGCTTCAGCTGTATTGTTGAGTACAATACCCACACCGCGCTGGTCAAATGAACGGTCTTCATCATTACCTGACTTTATCTTTTTTATCTTTATTTTACTTCCTTTTATTGAACATGCAATGGTACAATTTTCAGGAAGAGGGAAAGCGGCCAATTAAAGGGTTGCGGAGGAAGAACCTCGAAGACATCCCCGGTACATTTAAGTGGCATGTTGTACTAAGATCCTGGATTTCATTCTCCGACACGCAGCAGACATCAATCCCCAAAGAGTGCATTGTACCCACCAGACACATTTGTTGACCTACCTGCATCAGAGTCCTCACGTTGAAGGCCCCCAGATTCAGTGGCTGACGAGATTTCAGAATCTGCACTCTACTTACCGGGCTACTTGGCAACAAACTTTGGCGAGTGATGACCAAGTTGTCTGAGGGAATGTTACGGGCTGGAGGAAGGGGTAAAGGGAGAGGGTTGGATACGGAAGAAAAAGAGTTAAACAAAAGTTGGGATATCTGAACAGTAGCCCACTTATCACTACCCACCCGGCTCGATGCCAATGGGCAGCGCGGTCCTGATTATCCTGCGCGACGACCGATGCAGTATGGAATTATTTTCTTGTTTGTGTATGCATTTTAAGTTGATGGGCGGGTATTGCCAGGGTGTCCAGCCACTAAGCAGGAAAACGATTGGGGTTCTCGTCCAAAGCCTTTAGTTCTGACAAGAACCTGACCGTAAGGCAGCGGGTAAAGCGAGGTAGAGGCCCATTTACTTGGATCAATTACTCCTCTACCATTTTGCTGACCGAGACGCTAAATCGAGTCGAACCCCCAACCTGGAGGACCGGGAGACTGAACTTTGTCTGACCTTTACCCATTGACCTTCCAAGCATGATTATAGATATGCGGCTTGATAAAAGCCATCCTGTATAGCTCCTTGGTTCAGAGAGGTGCACAAATCAACACACCACGTCAAGGTGCAGTTTCGTGATGGTTAAGTACTACCACCGACAAGGTTGTGTGTGTGCGCACGTCGCAAAACCACATAATGAGAAACAATCGCTAATCATTCGATTGTTTCGTGAGTTGTTTTGAGTGCATCTTTTCACACTCCTATCTGTCCGATACCCCCCTCTGATTGTGATTCAATTGTAATATGATCCTTCTCGTGATAAACCATGTAAAACAGTCACATGCGTTGAACTGTGTCCCCACCCCCACACCTATTATTTCCCTTTTCTTCTTGTCTCAGATTCGCGAGTACAAACCAACCACCCAAGGGGAGACTATCAACGCTACCAGTTCGGGGGATTCTGAACCCACGGCAGTTCTACCCAGGGATGATGATGAGGAAGAACCGGCAGATGATCTGAGACCGGATTTGGATGCGGCGAACAAATTAAACCAAGGCACAGCTCATGTGCCCGCGTTCATCAAAGCAATAACGAGTAGTTTACCACCGAAATGGGTCAACTGGACCGTACGATTTTTCACCACCATATTCCTAATCAGTACATTCAGTCTGCTTGTCTATCTTGGACCACTGGCATTGGCACTTCTCGTAAGTTGGTTTACGGACTACGTGCTTGGCTACCTGTTTGTAACATTCCACACGGTTTTCTGCATCTGATTTCACTCATATGTATATGGTTTTACCAGTTCGTTCATCAAACTGGACCTTCCCTGAATCATATAGCTCTAGAAACGAACGTTGTCCGACCATAGCGTTTAATCATCAGAAACGTTCATTCGACCGTCGAGCAGTTACCCAGTTGATAGAACAGTTGCAATATTGCCGTATTGCGATAAGTGTGTGCATCATTCGAGTAACCTTTGAATTCTTTTTGTTACGTTTCGAATCTACATTTGAGATTCATTTATGGTTCCCCTTAGTCCTTTTCACAGACCTTTTAATGGGGCTGACCTTTCGGTCTAATCGCCCATGTTTTTCACCGTCATCGCCCTATTTTGTTACATCCGACTGACTGCTGAAAATCTGGATCATCCTTGTCCATTCTCCAGGTCGGTTGTATGTCATGGATTACTCCCGACTGGGCTGGTTGCGCGGAACAAGCTTGTCAGATTAATCCGGATCTGTTCTAGTACGATCGGGTTTCTGAATCACCATAAGCCGATTTATCGCGTCCACCGATTTTGGACTCCTTTACTGCTTAGTTTCCCCGATTCGTGTTTATCGAATTGTGATGGACTATCAGCTTGTATCGCTCGTGATGTGCTCTGTACTCTGTACTCGAGCTCCATTTGAAGACTGTCCTCCTGGGGGAGGACAAAAGTTCTCGGGGATCTGTTCACCCCTCCCCCCCTCCGCTGTTGACTGCGCCACAGCACACCCAGCGTAATAAATCATACGATATACACTCCATCCCGGAAACATAGCCACTTCTACAATATTTGTTGAGAAATTTTATTCATTTGTTAAATATGGATTCTATAGTGAATTTCGTCGTATAAAGAGCAAATGCAGCGTGAACTGAAAAATTGGGAAGCGCTCGACGGCTTTTTCGGCCTGGTTGAGTTTCGTTATTCAGTATACTATCGCGTCAAATCCTCCATCACTATTATGCAACTAACAGTCAGGTCTGGAATGGCCCCGACCGAATCATAACCCCGGAGGCTAGTGCTGAGATGAGCGAGATTTAATGTTTGCAGCAAACTTGCAAAGGTGTGTTGTGCTATATCGTTTAGCAGTCAAATGAAAAACGATCTGATCAGCTGTCCGGTGCATTCTACATGGATTCGCACTGCTGATGATACCCAATCAGCTCGAAACAGTTGTCCAGCAGTGATGCCTAGCTTTTCAGTTCCGGCACTTCATTTGCTTTGTAAAAGACGAAATTCACTGTATAGCTGAACCAAATCCTCCATCACTATCGTATAAATACGGACTCGTCTCACAGAGTTGACATATCAATCACCCCCAAAAAGCCTTTGAAGCATCAACTGTAGAGCTATTCCATCCATCACCATCAACACATATCCACAGAATCTGTTGGGGTTCGATCCCGAACACGAGGAGTTTTTCATCGAGCTTGCTACCCATCCGGACCGTCACGTACTGTTGACGTGTAGCGGATGATCATCCCGGATAGCTCGTTTGTATATGAACCACAAACGTACAAGTAAGACGTTCATAGTTTGATTTTTTAAGTCGTGTTTTGTGATAGCTTCCGCTTGGACAATTCACCTATTCGTTCACTACTGAATAAGTGACGGTGCCATGTCTGTGACTATACTGCTCTTCTCTTTCGCATATCTCTAGTCGTGAGTATGATGTCACTTTTATTGATCATTTGATTGCTTAATAAAGGGGCGAATCATTTTCCCGCCATCAAGATGGCGAAATGCAGTACTATCTCACTATTTGCTTCCTTGTTTTTCACTCACCCCGACTCCTCTTCAAATTTTCAGGTATTGTTCCTACAGATGGCCTGCTTTCACGAAATCATCACGATCGGATATGTTGTTTACCGATCGCATGACCTCCCTTGGTTTCGATGTCTTTCCTGGTACTTTCTTTTTGCGTCCAACTATTTTCTCTTCGGTGAGAGCTTGATCACCCGCTTCCGTTTACTACTGGCCAAAGAGGTGAGTCTTTTGCTATCACGCTTACTCGGTGTTATTTCTAACGTTCAATGGTTTTGTTCGCGTTTCTTGGTGGCCAAACTACTCGTATCAAGTGAAGGTTATTCTTCCTCCAATTACGTAAGGTGTTGTCGTTCCACCGAGTGGTTGCAAACAAACGTCCGTTCTAGTCCCACTGCGAGCAAATCACCAGTTCACCAAGAGTCTGGGGAATGACCGCGAGAGGCGTCGGGTAACAAAATGTGGAGGGATGAAGAAAGCTGCGGCTGCTGGTAATAGTTGCACCCTTTGCCGTCTAATTAGTATTAGGGACCCAAGGAAAGCGGGCGTAGGTGAGGTAATTAAGGATTCTGACGGCACACTGGTTCATCAACAGCAACGCTGTCTTGATCGATAGCTGAAAATTTTGAGGCTCAGTTCAACTGGCCCCCGTCGACATTAAACCTATCACGCCTCACTGCGACTAGACAAATACCCCCAAGAAACACTTTATCTCAAAAGACATAAGGCCTCCGGCCTATATGGGCTGTTCCCATTGGCTTTTAGGGATGAAGATCCAGCATTGATCTAGGAGTTGACGCAACTCCTGGGGTCAGTATGGGATGGCGGATAAATTTTAGCTGAATAGTGCGAATCAATCAAATTACCGATTTGAAGAAAAATGATAGATCCTCTTGTAAAAACCACAGAGGAATTAGTTTAGTCAACATTGTCTCAAAAATTCTCTCTGGGATTATACTCCTGTTGTCTGCCGCTCGTGAAGAGTGCGCGCGTGAGAATCAGGCTGGTTTATGATCTAGTCAGGGTTGTACAGACCATAGCTTCATCCTTCACCAAATTCTGGAGCACCGAAATTCTTTTCATAGACCCACTATCTCTGTCTTCTTCGATCTGAAAACGGCTTTCGACTCCGTCGACCGCTCTAAACTCTGGCGTTGCCTCTCTCTAAAGTGTACCCGAGGAGTTTTTCAATATCACAATCACTTTACACTAATAGCAGAAGCCAAGTGAGTGAAGTCAAGTCAAGTCAATAAAAGCCGAGTCCGAGCTTGCGGCACTTTCGCCCGAGTTCATCTTGGAAACGGTTGTTCGTCAGGGTTGCCCTCTCTGTCCCCGTTTCCATTTAAGTTTGTCATAGGTGTAATTCTTGAAACAGCTCTTTCCTCGTGCGAGAATGGTGGCATCGATTTACCCCAAGGTGGCAGACTGTGTGATATGGAGTATGCAGACTCATTGTGCTACTAAGTGAAGATCCAGGTAAGTTGCAAACTTTTCTGGATAGTTTGAGTGCTGGTGTAGCCATGTTCGGTATGCACTTTCAAATTGTAAAATGTTACTAGAAGACTGGGTTGGTCCAGCACCCAGACTCACTCTAACTGGGGAAGTAATAGAACAGGTGAATAAGTTTTGTTATTTGGGCAGCTACATCTCACCCAGTGGACGCATCACGGATGAAGTGTCTGCTCGCATACAGATGATGAACTCCATAGAATACGTTTGCTGGAACATGTGTTGCTCATTCCAGCAAATAGGTTGCCACGGTGTCTGTTATTTTCCGAGGTAGGCAACAGACGGAGAAGAGTCAAGCGTGGTCAAACTAAGACCTAGTATGAGTGTATGAAAACCCCAACCAGGAGACTGGGTCTCATAAGTCGCTTGAAACTTCCTGGATGGGGACCCGGGGATCATGATAACCGGTGGTTAGAGACAGAGTGTTATGGCTGAGAGTCTTAAACAGTTGTTCTGGTGCACCTTCTCAATCTATTTGCAAACTTAGTGCACGGGAATTCTCTATTTTCTCTTCGACTTTACTTTCAACTTTCTAATCTTCATTCTGCTTATTTATCCAATTGGGCGACCAAAAGACAGCAACAAAAACGGGCGCGCGAAGATGCATGGCTAATGGGTGTACAAAGTGAAACTGAAACCCCTATCGAAACCTCCGCACTGTGAGTATGTTTGCGGTTGGCATAAACGAAATAAATGTAGGCTAAGAATTCGTATACTCTGTTTAACGCTACAAAGTGCCTTATTCGTAAATTCTTCAAATTAACAGAATAATCGGCATCTGTGGGTGCTCCGTTCGCATATCTTGCTTGCACGTACTGTTTACATCAAATGTGTCAGTCAATATCTATCGATTTCGGCATAGTTCACACTTTTCTATCTCACGTGATGTTGAATTGACTTCTCGTAACCGTAATCAAGTACTCATTCTATCACCGGGTCATCACTGGCCAGTTTCTTTCAACAATTCCTTTGTTTCAGGATTTCCTTCAAGCGCTTGTGACGCATCATCATTTCTTGTCATTCAGTCTGTACTCGGGTGGCATTGTCCTCTTCGTACTAAGTTTGGTCAAGAAACACTATATCAAGCAGTTTTTACTGGTAGGTTCTCACTGTTTATTATTGTTTAATTTGTTTAATTTCTCGGTCTCTGATTGATGGCCGTCCCCGGTGTCGCAATACTGCTGAACTTACTGTTTGCATTGAATCATTGTTGCCTGGTGGAGATCTTCATTGCGTCAATGACACATGCCGGTTACCCTATGTATATCAGGTCTTGTACGTTAAAAGTGGTTAGTTTGAAGGATGAAGTAGATCATCCAGAGGTGGTGGGGTACTTCGGTGAGACTTCAATTCTACTATTTTCAGGGCAATTGAGAACAGGGGTTGCATTTCCATCTGAGACACCTTTACTAGCGTAGTTGACTGTAATTGCCGAATATTTTTGGATGTAATGGTGAGAGAGGTAAGAATGTATGAGAGCTATCGGAGATCATTGTCAAACACTTGAGCTCGAGGAGTAGAGAAAAATCATAGATGTTGTGGATTGCTTTACTACTCAGTCTCCCAGACTTGAGGATACGCTCGATAGCATACCACCCGACTGATCAGAGAGAAGAATTAGCAAATCATTTGCTAGCTTTTTACTGTCACATTTTCCCGACAACTGACAGTGATTCGTTGGCAAAAGGTAACATGCTCACAGTCCTTTAGTTGTTAAGAGCGTGTTCGGTCCCTTATTCAGGTTTCAGTGTCTGTCGTGCCACGATTGTTTTTTTACCTCGCATATGAACTAAACCGACTATGCGTTAAGTGCACGACTGAACGTGTACAATTTAGTCTGCAAACTGCCAAACTGTGAGAATATGGTGGTGATTCATGATCAGCAAACACACGACTCCTAACCGGACGTGTCATCTTACTGTGTCTCTTTTGGGACACTCAAAGATGTACAATCGCATGCGAACTCTGTTCAAGCAGGCACAAAAGCGAGAGCATATCTTTGCGGTTTGTAAGAGCTAACATCTGGTGGGAGGGGCGGGGCAGGGAATAAGCGCTTCCTCATTATTCGCTGTTCCACTATCGCAACAAGTTCAAACAATCGCTTACGAAGTTGAAGCATAATAGCGTGAATTTCGTTCGAACGATTCTTTGACCACGTTCGAATCATACACAAATGAGATAAATGTGTGATAAGGTTGATGTGAACTCAT